GGCAGGAGGGTTGGACTAGATGACCCACAGAGGTTCCTTCCAACCCCTACCATTCTGTGATTCTGTGAAGAGAGGGAAGCCACTGCTCCCCTTTGCCACTCTGCTTCTGGACAAACTCCCAGAGAAGCACCTTGTCTTCCCTTTGGCTCAGACCTGCAAGTGCAGGGCGGGTTTTATCCCCATGACAGCACTTCACTCCTGAGCCTCTCCAGCGCTCTTTCACAGTAACCTCACGCTGTCAGACAAGACTTCTGTACTGAAAAAGTGTCCCCAGTGGTACGGCAGACTCCAGGAGCAAGCCTGGCCACCTCCCTTTGCTTTCCTTTGCCCTCTTGGGTGATGCTGGGGACTATCTTTTACTGACAGAGGTGGGTAACAGCAAGGCAATCTGTGACTAGGAGGCTACATCGGGCTCAGGGTCTGGTGTCACAGCAGTCAGGAGGAAGGAGGCAGATGTCAGATGTGATGTAGATGGACAGGGAAGCTGAGGGCCAAAGAGCAGGGTGCCAGCTTGGAGTTCAGAAATTCAGCACCAAAGCACATGTGATGCAAAAGAAACAGATGCAGGAAATAGCAAGGACTGTGCAGTGACAGCACGAGCTCGCAGGGAACAGTCAGCAGCAGGAGGTCTTTCCTGTACTGACAAAGGCCACAAAAAGAAGCTGACTATTTCTCAGACCAGCAGCATGCTCTTCCTGCTGCTTTTATGTAAAGCTGATGGACAGGATCAGCAGGCTTGCCAGGACTTGGAGCAACCAGGATGGTCTGGAAGGCCTGCAAGGAACCCAGCTGAGGTAGAGAAGCTTGAGTAACCCTGCTATAGCAAGCCTTCCTAAGATACAGCGCAGTGAACAGAAACCGCACCCTCCCTGGAGGAGTCTGTGCTGAGACAGGCAGAGACAAAGCGTGACACTGACCTACTGGCCTCACAGGCTGCCTTGGCTCCTCCTGGGCACATGCCATTTCGCTCTCGCAAGCCCCAGCTGGGGTAACGCCAGCATGAACAGACTCTATCCCTCCTAACCCCCGCATGACATCTCTGTCACAGCCAAACACAGACCTAGTGAGAACAAAGCCAGCAGAGGAGGGGAGCAGCACCACACAACAGATGGTGACAAGGCAGGAGCAAGCAACTCAGGTAAAGAATGCTCGAGCCAACACTCTGCCACTCCCAATGCACACTCATCGCCTGAACTTGCTCCTTTACACATTGCAACTTACACAGCTACCACCCTGCCACCATGCACTCTGTCTTCTGTCTAGCTTCAGCTGCCAGGGCCCTGTGTGCATTAACAGGCCTTAACTGTCCTGAGCAGCCTCACCTGGGGCCTCTACCCACACCCCTGCCCATGGGTGCAGGGGTGTGTGTATTTGCATTTAAGCCCAGGACAGAGCTACCAGTCCTTGTCTGAGGTAGGTTGGAGGAGTAGTGGTCTCTGGCTATGCCTTGTTGAGCCTGACCTCAGACTTGCCTTGTCTTGTCACCACAGACGTGCCTGGCAATCACTGGGCCTGATCCTGACCTGTGGATTGACTTTCCAGCATGACTGCAGGCTATCTCATCACTGTGAGCATCCCTGGCTATCTCAACTCTTGGTCAAACCTGGCCATTAGCCTGGGTCTGCCTGGCTCTTCTTGGGTGGACTGTGGCTAGTGAGGGCCCAGGCCTGCTGGCCTTGGGAGCACCTCCCTCACAGCTCTCCTTCTTCTAGGGTGCAGCCAGCCCTTGCTGCACCCTGACATTGGCTCTCCTGGTATGACTGCCAGGACAGCTGCACTCTGAATGGGATCAGGGAAATCAAGTGGTTTAAAAATAGCTGTAAGGGAAAAAGCTATCAGTTACTCCTACCTGAATTGACTCCCCAATACTGTTTGTGTAATCCCAGAAATGGCCATATAGCACAATTAAATTAGCAGCATAAGAGCCATAGACACCAGGGGCTACTTAAGACTGCTGCCAAGAATGAGCCAGGCAGGCTGGCTTCACTACCCAGTTCAGAAACTCCTCTCAGAGTAGCTCAAATCAGATGTGTCAGCCAGAAGCCTCTCATCTTACTGAAGGTCAGTGTGGCTCCCATATCAGGTCACACTCTGATCATGTAGTTAGAACTTTGCTGATTCCCAGAATGCAAGACTTCATACCTCTGCTAAACCCACAGGGGTTCTTCTGCAGGGTTTAGTTGCCCAGCAACTCAGTTCCTGATTGCATCTGTATGTCCCAAGACTTTATGGATCTTGCTAAGATTATGGGTCTTAGGTTCCCATTGCAAGGAATTCTACAGTCTACCTTACATATCTGTGGAAAATGTGGAAACCAGTGAAGGAAAGCCTTTAAATTTAAACTGAAAGTTGGCTTGTCCAGATAGTACCTTTAACTGTTTCTTTTGGTGACAAGCTGGTGCTACAGAGCAATCTCTTTGTGGAGGTAAGAAGATCCCAATCCATTCCACTGCAGTAACACCATGCTATTGCTCAGCTTTTGTCATTGTTGCCCTTCTGAACCACTCACTGCTCTGCAGTCACTTTTTTTTTTGGCTGAAGCATGAACTGCAGTCACTTTTTTTTTTTTTTTTTTGGCTAAAGCACGGAACAGGCTATATGCCATTGGCTTTTAGGTCAAAGCACAACCACATCTTCTCCCGTTTTTCTTGCAATGTAACTGAATGACTTCCTAGTCCATTCCCTCCTGCTTCCAAGCAGGTAATGTAGCACTTTAAGGCCCTGACACCATCTTTGGTCTGAAGTAACAACTTCTGTACCTTGCTTACTGCCTCATGCTGCCTTGATTACCGCACAGGGTTAGGCCGTGCTGACTGCTGCTGCTGAGAAGACTCCAGCTGA